CAAATTCAAGACGGTCTTGAATGCAAGACCCGACTACGAATACCGGTCTAGGATACGTTGTTTCCGCTTTGTTTCGGGCTACAAATGGGGTAAAAAAAAATCGACGAGCGGAGTCGCGTCGCGTGATGTTCCCTCGAGATACCGACGCGATCGATGTCGCGGTTAATGACCCAGAAAATGCTGGATTATTTTACAACGCGCTGTTATAGAACGACGCGAATCGATAGATAACGTCTTTATTGTTGCCGCTGTGCGATCGGGAGAAGAACGACCGAGCTCTGCTGCGTCCCGATCCGTATTGACATTTATCGCGTTCAATAACGGCGCTCTTTCCTTCACCAGCCTGGAGAGACCTCATAATCAGAGACTGGCCATGCGGGTTCGTCAAATTCCCGCGAGCGAGAGAGTCTACGATCGTAGAAGAGTGAGATAGCCTCCGTTTCTCTCTCGCTCGCGGGAATTTGACCAACTCTTAAGGCCGAATCAGACTACGGATTTGAGATTGGGAGTAGATTGAAATTTGACTAACCACAGTAAAGTGTACTAATCTCAAGTTTAGTAATTTTTACTCCAATTGGTCAAATTTCAGCCCAGTCTCAATCTCAATCCGTATGTCTGATACGGGCTTTATGGCCGGTCTCTGATTACAGGGTCTCTAGCCTTTCTGCTCCGTTTTTTTTCTACGGCGCCTCCCGTTACGCCATTGCCCCGAAACGTTATGAGAGAAATCCTATTCTTGTTTGGGTTATCGGCCGCGCCTTTTATCGTTCGCGGTGCCGGTGGCGCGCGGCAACTCTTTCCACGGCGATCGTATAGCGCGACGGAAAAAGAATCCGGGTTGATAGGAGATAAGAAGTGTCGCATACATTCATGTGTCGCGCAATGCGTCGCGCGGAAAGTACATTGCGCTCGATCCCACTTTCGTTTCCCCGAATTTCGATTACGGCTTGATAAGAACCGAATTGCGTTCCTAGACGAGCTCGGGTAAATATTTGAGAAACGGCGCGAACAGTTGCGATAATTATCTGGGGTGACCTGAATTCTCAAATCGTGTGCGCATTTAAGACGAGTCTACCCAGATAACAATTGTTGCGCGCAAATTTTGCTTGTCTTATGCACGCGAACTCGCACGAGATTTGCCTGAGTTTTTGCCCGTAGGATACGTCTAGTCTGCGCTTCTTGCACGCAGGTTGGCTCGTGTATTAACGTATAACTTTGCGCGCAAATATCTAGCAACTCGCGTACAAAAAAAACTACTCAACAACGCAAGCAAAATCCAGATGCGTCGTCACAATGCTAGATGTTTGCGCGCAAAATGATGTTTTTCCGGGTGTGTATCTCGCCAGGCTGAGCGAAATGAAAAACCGATAGAGAGGAAATGAAACGAATCCAAATTTAAGTTGTCTCTGTCAATCGCGTGGGTCCCCTATTACAAAAATTAACAAAAGTGTTCCAATTCTAGCATTTTCATGTTGATTTGTATAACACTTTTTAAATTTACGTAGAATTTCTTAGATTCTGGCAGCTATATTTAATTTATTTATAGAATTTCGTAGAAATATTTCCGGCAGGGTCGTCATCGTTTAAATATAATTCAGTCGAATATGAATAGCAATAAATTTTATAAAAAATAATTGGCTACTTGTATCCCGGCGGTAACAATTTTCAAAATCGATTGTAAACTCCCGATTGACACGATCGGAACAACGAAAAACGGCAATAATATAATAGTTGCAGTGTAAAAGCAAGTTATTTGGGCTTGTCAGTCGCGGACTCTAATAGATCCTAGACCGGATGATCGTGTCGGCGTATACGAGAGTCGGTAAACGAGCGTCGCCTAAAATTAGAAACCCATGTTACGTAGGCGCCTTAGCTAAAACGACGTCGTGAGTTAAGGATAAGCCGGAGTCTGTCTCCTCCAGCCGTTGCATTCATTAGTTCGATAACGACTGCGCACCTGTTCCTCTTGTTTAACGGTTAAAACTAGATTAGATTGCATTTCGGCGTTATCACCTGCTCGCCTCGGGATATCATGATGAAGCGACCGACCTGTCGAACGACTGCTGCTGATTTCCCGAACCGCAAACCCGAGGTTAAGCAGCTGCCGCTCGAGACCGGCTTCTTTGTCAGTTTAACATTCAACTTGCTAAAAAGTAGTATAATCAGTACGTCCACTCCGTCATTCGTTTCGTTTTGCGTCGACCCATTTTGCGCATCCGACATTGTTCTGGGCAGACCAATGAGAGAAAAGTTGTATGCGTGGCGGTGTAGCCGTAGTATAATTACTAGGTCCACTCTCTATCGACCCCATAGACATATTAAGAATAGACTGCGCGTTCCCTACCTTACCCGTGTGCAAACATGCATGTACAAACTTTAGAACGAGATAGCTGGTGTTGAACAGTATAGAGACGATCGTAGAAGAGTGAGATAGCCTATGTTTCTCTCTCGCCCGCGGGAATTTGACCAACTCTTATGGCCAGTCTCCGATTACGGGATTTCTAGAACAGTATAGCCTCATTTTTGTCCAGTCAAGTAGTGGGGGTAACAGAAGAGTAGGGAAATGATGGAGAACAAAGGATAAGACGGTACGGTCCAAAGGGTGTTGCCTCTTTCTAAAGTTTGTACACTGCTGCAGCCAAAATGCGCAGTCTATATATTATACGTCCATGATCGGCCCCTCTCATCCGCGCGGTCCCGATTACGTGGCACTCCGCCATGTCTTTGGTGCAAATCCAGCAGCGTACGCACATACGTACGTATGTGTGCGCGCTCATCGAACCTCAGGCTACCCCGCGTACAACTTTTCTTTCATTGGCTGCAAACCGACGTAATGTCGGATGCGCAGAAGGGATCGACGCGAAACGAAGCGAAATGACAGCGGGCGCACTGGTTATACTATGCCCGAGACGAGACATCGAGGCTGCTCATTGAAACTATTTTCCGCTCGACAATCGGCCACGTTTCGCCCGATGCTCGCTAACTCGAATGACGTTGACACCGGTAATAGACGGGCGCGCGTATTACAGACGCGGTCTCGCACGACGGGTGACGTAACGGCAACGATCGCGCAAAATGCGGCGGCGTGTTACACGCGGTGGAAGAATGCACCGCTGATTTACTTTCAATTCTGCCGTGCCGATCCTCGTGACTAGCTCGATTTTAACCAGCGCGGAAAGCGTTTCCGCTTTCGAGGCCGCTCCCCTGAGACGTCCCGACGCGCTAGCGTGATGCGAACTCCTTGTAATTCTCCGTCTCTGTCCGCCTGTTTCTCAACCGGGAAAGATCACTCGGCTACCGAGAGCATTGTCTCCTTTTTTTTCAATTCTAGCGCATTTGCGTGCCGACGGCGGTTAACGACGTTAACGCCGCGAAATAGCAGCTTAAAGTCACGGCTATCTGTTTACGATCCGAGACTGGGCATCGGCAACTACGCAGATCCGAAGTCGTCGCTTTGTAAACGTGCGCCGTGTACGGGAAAACATTTACCTTAACGTACGCGATTAGCACACCGCGCATGTGTTGTTTACCGCGTAAATCACCGTTCGATTTCGTGGCGATTTTCACCCGTGCCTCGGGAAGAAAGCGCACGCGCTTGCGCGCGCACGTTACACATATGTAGGAATAATGGAAAGTACCACCCCGCGCGTGTACCCTCGAGCGTTTGGTTACACGATAAATCGTCACGCCGCCGCGCCGCGGCAATTAAACCGTCGATCTTGTTTGCGTACTTTTGCTTTTGCGACGCGGATGACAAGCATCCGGCGGGCATAGGCGAAGCATCGTGATATCAATTACCAGAGCCGTTTATCTGTTATGATACAAGTTTATTGAATCGCCGCTCGCGCAAATCAACAATGGCGATGGGCCAGGCCCCAGCCGCATTTGTCCCCAAGTACCAAAATCTCTGCCACGTTCGCGCTCTGCCTCGCATATTCGCAGGGATTTTTCACGGCGGTGGTGAGTAGGCGGCAGTAATAATAATCCAAATAATAATTAATAATAATATAATAGTAATAATGATAATAATATACAATAATAACGGGATATGCGCGCTAGTTGCGATAATAGTCAAGAGATATAACAAGTAAAATATACATGTGTCCTTACGTATGTATATACGTGATCATAATATGTTCATATTATGACACCGCATTGTACATCGCGAAACCAATTTCCCCACTCGACAAATAAAACAATACGAATCGCGTCAATTTCCTTTGATTAAGTGATATGGCTTGTTCGCTGACAAAAATTACCCCCCCGCCTCGCCCTGTCTTTTCCCGGTGCCAGTTTCCTCCTGTTCCCGATGGATGCTTCCCCCCCCGACGTTACTCGATATCAAATCTTTCCTAATTTCTCTCCGGTAATTAACTAATAAATTTCTTACATATTTATAATAGCAATATATATATGTACATATGTACAGGGTGTCCCAGGAGGAAAGGACAATATTCTGGGAGGTGATAGTGTCGGCCGTTTTAAGTAAAAATGTTGATGCGAATGTACGTCCCAGTCCCCGCTGTTCCCGAGATAGAGCTATTTGAATGCGCAGTTGCGAAATCACCGACAAGAAAGCAATGCCACGTGCTATTTCCAATATTTATTGTTCGCGATTCGGAATTCTGCGTGTAGGAAAGCGCCGACGGTATTCTTCACAGAAACCGTTCGACATTTGTGAATATGCGAGGCATCTCGAACATTTCTACACTGTTATCGGCACGACAGTCAACAGGCGTATAAGAGTAAATTCCCGCAGACGTTTATGAGATTGGACGAAGGGCGAAGTGTAGAGAGAAAAAGTAAATACGCGAGACATTCGAGTAGCTCCCCGAGTAGAACAAGTTAATCACAAAAATGTGATGTGTGACATTAAAATGATCGACATCAAGATTTGTCTTGCAATAACTGATTTATGACACACTCGTGCTGTGTATAATAATATATTATTACAGATCACACGATCAGTCATATATATTATGTTTATCTTATACTACTTTAATTTATTTTTAATGTATAATATTTAATTAACTTTGCTTTGTAAACAAGATCATTTTTACATTTTGATGTCTTAATGGTGTCACAAATAGGTGCTCTCGGTGGGATATTTTGACGTCACCATGATGCATGAAAAATGATCAAAAAATGATGTCACATCTTGAGGTTTTCATGACTAATATGTTCTACGTGAGTCTATCGCGGAAACACTGGGGAATGGGACGTATATTCGTGTGAACATTTTTGCTTAAAATGACCGGTGCTATCACCTCCCAGAATATTGACCTTTCCTCCCGAGACACCCTGTATATACACAATGCATGACCCGCAACGACAAATGTGCGTAATAGGTATAGTTTCTATGCGAGTGCACCTTCTGTGACAAAAAGCCATCGGTCCTTTTTCCAAGGCTGGTCCTACAATAGACGCGGCAAGTCGCAAGTGGCGAGAAAACAACCAATCGCGACCAAATATGAGAAGAATAATCGACCGTCGATTGGCCGATTCCTTGCGGCTTGCGACTACACCGCGTCTATTGCCGAAGCAGCCCTAAGCTGGAACACTCAACTTTTTCGTACCTGCCCCAGTGAGAAATGACTCGTCGATCGACGTCGACTCGAGTCGCAAGTCATTTCTCGCTGGTGCGCGTCTTTCTTCCACGTGACCCCGTCCTCCTTAAAGGAACACTCGTACTCGCGTGTTTCAAGTTACACTGGTTTGACGCTCGACGTTCCTGTTCGACGCTTCTCCCAGTTTAGCGTCCTCTCCTGCAGAATGCAATATCGGGTGGGAATTCCTTTAACACCGAAACAACCACATTACTGTGAGACACAAACGTGTATCGCGGCATGAACGTCGAACGTGAATCCAGGATTACGAATCTGACAATCCTGTGTAAACGGATCCGCCCGATTTGTCCAGCGAAATTGTCCAGGCAAGAACAATTTCTTCCCTTTGCGCTCTTCGCAGCACTTTAACACATGGATAGCGTTGAAAACACCGTCCCGGTGCATCTCGATCGAATGCTTTGTATTAACCCCGAGTCACGTGCTCGCGCTTAGAACCTGAAGAGCTTCGTATTCGGAGCAAACAATTTGAACGCGAATGCATCATGTCGCCGATCAACTTTACCCTCGCGGAAGTACACTGGCTACGTCATTGGCACTGTCAAAGCAGAGGAATAGGAGAGAAGCTTAGTTTACGCTGTGAACAAGAGCGAGATTGTTCGAGTTAAGGGACGATCTCGGCTTTCGGTGGTCCTCGCTTTCCGGCCAACTTTTGCATCCGAGAGCGCGCGCGAGAACCACGCTAATCGCGTGGTGTGTGAACGAAGTCTGCAGTCGCAATCGGCGTTTACACGATTATTTACAAATTTACCTAGAGATATACAAGCTATGCCCTCGAGGCTAGAAAAATACGGTCGCTCGAGCGCAGGAAGGCCGATCGTCGATCCATCGCGAGGTCGTGGGAGAGGAAACGCGGGAGATATAACTCTCGCGATTTTGTGCGCTTTCGCGAAGGACGAGATAAACGTCGGCCGATATCGCAGATTGGAGAGCATTCGATACTAGTTTTACGCCTCGAATTATACAGCCGCGGGATGATCGTCTCCTTCCGCGAGACCTCGTCGAAAGTCATGTTTAATCAGCTTCTAATTTCAACACTCGACAGACGCTCGTTGATAAGAGCGTCCGCCGTGTTTATATGTACAGAGGTTGCGATTTTGCGTCTCGATGAGCGACGTTATCGCGATCGCGTGCGACGCGATTATTACGATATGAATCATCCGCGTTTTCAGCGCTAATATTTTTCTTAGACGCAGAATGTGAAGCGCTTCGTGGGAAAACAACGTCGACGCCTCGCGTCGACGAACAACAAGCGCGTCAACCTTCGGATTCCTCACCCTCGCCGGTAGCTAACTCGCATTCGAAAATCTATTTCTCGACTTTGTACGCGGTTCACATCCGGGCTGACGCATCTCACTATCGGGCGACTCCGTAATCTAGACGAGGGACGGCTCGATGGATTCACAAATCTCGACCGTCCGTGTTCAACGACAGTAATTGTAACTATAATCCCGCGGGGCTCGTAAAAGTTGGACGACTATGAGACCTATCTACGCGGGTCTCCTCTCTGTTTATAGTAAATCTTACGACTTACGTTTACCATTGTGGAACGCTATAAATGCTCGGATGCGCGTTAACGAATCTTTACATCGCGCGCGCGTCGGCACCACGGCTACAATTACAATCATTGCTAATTGTAATAATCGCTACTCTTAGGGAAATAGCCGTAAGTGCGATTCGGACAATTCGACCTTGAGTGCCGCATTGACTCGAGTTAGCGCTAGCCTTAAGCCAACGGCGCGCGGTACTACTTTTCCTACCGGATTGCTCACGAGAGCCAATCGGGAAGCAGAGTTAGTGAGCGATCCAGTAGGGAAAATAGTGTGCCGTTGGCTTTAGTTACAGGTGAGCGGCTGACTCGTTGAAAATTCGATCGTCGCTGTTACTGCGCTCGAGCCGATCGTCAGAAAGGAGAAAATTATGACTAGAGAAGAAGATTCGTACGTCGGATACGATCGATCGGCGGCCCGCCCGAGAGGGCTCGACCTACTCTTACAAGTAGCGTTATTAAAGTATTTGGTGTAAAAATAGGTATGATACACAGGCGTCGGAGTGCGCGGCGCGCCTCCCGCTTCCAAAAGACGTGTCGATGCCTCCCTCTCGCGCGAACGACAAATTGCGTTCGGGAGTTTCATCGTTTTTGTTTTCTCAAAAATTTTCCCCCAATAAATATCAGCCTGCCAATTAAAAGAGATCTAAGCGCCAAGTCTCTGAAACGTTTTAGCAAAAAATCTTTTCACAGACGCAAATCCCGTTCCTGGGTGTGCGAAAGACCTTCGGTGCAATCGTCTCTTCTTCTTTCTTTCCCTTTGACGCTCAAGTCCCTTTTAATTTACAATACTCAAAGGCGAATTCGCCGTAGATCCCCGCGACATCACGGAGGAACGTTCTCGTGTCGAAGTCGCCCCCTCTGTTTCCATGGCTGCTCGGATTTTCTCGCGATCTCTCAAAATTCGACTACGATCGCCTTCGCGCGACAAAATCCCCGCTTCGGCTCTGATCCTCTTCGAGTTCCCTCCTCCCGTCGGATTCGGATCGAAATATTCCCCCTCGTAGCGTAGCGCCGGCGGCGCGTAAGACCAAGTGAATCGCTCGTGAAAGCCGTTCCCGGCGATTCGTTGCGGCCACACCGCCGTTTCCCTTCGAAATTCTGGCTCGGTGACGACCCAAAGCGTCGCGGTGCCACCGGGTCTCAGGTCACGTCCACGTTCACGAGTCCGTGAACCCGATCGTCGGCTGGCTGCTACGTCAGCAGCTTGAAGAACATCAAAGCTAGGGATATGTTGATGAACAGCACCAGCATCACGAGCTGCTGGCGGGAGAACCAGTCCTGGAACAGTACGGAACACTACGTTAAGCGGTTTTCTTATCGCGAGCCGTTGAGCGTCGCCGCGTCGTCGTCGCTGCCGCCGTCGCTTGGAATCGGAGCCAAGAATTCGGCGAGGACGCCGAGTGATTCATATCGACGTTACATGAGCAAAAATTGTCTCCGCACGCGTAACATAACGCAGCCACCGCCGCTGCGTGTCTGTTACTCGGTGTTTTTCGAGCTCAATTATTTCAATTTTCATCGCCGTCCCGTTGCAATTGAGAGTAATTTTACTCGATTCCGTCGCGACTGCGAAACTGGACCAAGCGGATGCTGATTTCTACAGCTGCGCGAGAACCTATTATAGAGTCGTCGGGTTTCGCCGCGGTGCGTGTATTTTTGCGTACCAAACCGAGACGCAGGACTCGATCCGAAATAAACCGTAACACTCTGCCAAGTACCGGCGTTCTCTCTTGTTTTCACGAACAAGCGGCGAGGATTGACGCCATTGTCAACATCGACAAGCTTCGACGGTCAGGTAGAGATACTCACTTTAACCTGCGGACTGACCAGGTACAAAAGCGGATTTGCTCTGAGCCTCTCGCTCTCGTCGATCTGCCTGCGGATCTCCTCTCTCCTCATGCTGCTCAGGAAACTAACTTCTTCCCTCGACATTGGTGCGGTGGCCGTGAGCTGGATCGGCTGCGCCACGTCCGGCAGTGACTTCTTTCGTTGAAGGGGCATTGCCGCCACCGGCATCGCCTGCACCAAGGAAATAAACGAGAAACAAAAAGAGAGAGATGGGCCTCGAGCGATGGATGCCAATTACTTATCGACACTATGTACATTGTACGCCTTATACGTGTAGAGCGTTAAACGGATATACAGCGGAAAGAGAAGAACGGAGTTATTGTCAGGCAGTTACTTCTGAGTGCGTTTCTTACAGGGAATAACGTTAAGTTGACGTACTAATAACTGGGTGAGGTGGCGTGTCGGTTTATTTAATCAAACGCTCGGCTTTCAATAAAGTCTAACGTATTTGAAAGTCGGTTTCGTGAACGTGTTACACCCAAGGATTTACTGGCCTATATAATTCCAAAATTCGATTTATACTCCAAATTTTTGCGCTTAAAAACGTGTGTCCAAGCACGTTGTCATCTATAAAACTGATAAAATTATAAGCATCTGACTCGAAAGTCAAACGAACCAATAAGCGAAGACACTACTCGATATGTTTAAAGGATTTTATTTATAAGAATTTTTTTTTCAAATTCGCAAAAATTGCTTACGTTATCCGCTCTAGATGAGGGAACTCTCTTAAGCAAAATTGTATTCTATTCTAACCAAGATTATTAACCTTTGACATGTTTCCATTGTACTTTTCGAAGCTTTTGTTTTATATCAGAGCTGTACACGAACGTTTCTCTTGTTCGAATTTCTGTTCGTTCCCTTGCGTGACGTCAAAAGTTAGACGGCTCTGCTTTGTATCACTGTGTGAAGCTACCATTGAATTTCCAACTATTGACTATCCAGACAATCGAGCGTTTTTTGTTCCATCTTCTACATGCATTTATCGTCATGGAATTATATAATCGCGTTTCGTTAAATCCTTTGCTCTCAGGTTTCACCTTCCCCGCAGCACAGTCTTCACGAAAGCGATTTTAGAATTGGTTAGGGCGTCCAATTCTCCCGTAATTACGTGTTTTGTTAATTCAGCATTTCATGCGAACGCAACGGGTGGCGAGGAGAAAGGTAGAGTACGGGCGGAAGGGAGGATCTTTGGAACCGTTCCAAACCCGAGAGAGACGAGATTTGAGGCACCGTGGTGCAAGGGCCGAGGGGTTCAAATCCCAGCCAAAACCACTCGTCGTGTCGGCCTTCGCATTCTTACCGAGTGACTAGATAAATTGATTTTTTTTTAAAACCGCAGCTTGAAGGAAAACGTGTCCGCGATAGAAATAAGATTTTCGACAAAAAGTAACGTAAAAGACATAATTTTAATTCTACAGTTGAACGCTCTTTCCTTTATACGATGATTCATTCACATTTATCGTTACAAAAGCGGCGAATTACCCAACAAGTTTCACTAAATATTGCATAATCGCATACACTCCACTTCTCGTCGCAATATATAATGTTTGCATAGGGTATTAGAAAAAAGAATCAAAAATTTATCAAGGTCAGTGTTTTCTTGACCGTACCTGGCATTTTTAATAACACAGATTATTGCGAAAAATATTACCGCAGCCAGGGGTTGAACCCTACGCTCTAGGTATATTCGAGGTATATTGCGACAATGCCTCGGTGGTCGAATTGGTGAGAATGACGCCCGCCTAGAGCGTAGGGAGGTCCAGGTTCAACCCCTGGCTGCGGTAATATTTTTCGCAATAAATTTTCTGTGTTATTAAAAGTTCCAGGTACGGTCATGGAAACACTGACGTTGTTAATTGCTGGCGACATTAAAGAATTCTTATTAGTTCAAAAATTTATCGTTAGAGGGCGCATCGAAAAAAATATAATTAATGTAAAATGGAAAAATGATCAGAAGTAGAAGTGATTTTCGAGTTTGTTACTACGCGTCTCGTCACTCACGTGCATGTTTTTTTCAATGCCGTTTGTCGAATTTTATCTGCTCTCCGGGTCTCGAATCTTATTCTTAACACACCGTATGAGTGTTAAATTGCAAAAAACCTCTTGTCTCGCGTTGAATACTTTTGCAGATCGCGTATCCTCCTTCTCAAATAAGGAGTTAAATAAGGCCACGTGTGTCTTCCAATGCGCCATATTTGTGCAACCTATCATATTTACCGACTCTCCCCGTTTATTGCGGCGCGTTCTACTCGTAAACCCTTATTCCACACTTCGTCGAGCGTGCGTTGTCGCTAGACACAGCTGATTCTACCCCTAACGATCGCACACGAGCAAACATTCCCCTCCCGTTCGTTATCTATTGCGTTGTCTTTCCCCTATTCTCGTGCTTTCTTCCACGGAGAAAATCCTCGCTACAGCCCACCCCTGTATATATTTTCACGCATTGCCCGGCTCGCGACTGTGTCAGAATGTCAGAGCATGGATTCGCCCTGCGTACCTCCACGGGAGGTGCGACGATCCAGGACTCCGAGGCCCGTCTGGCCATCAGAGCGGGGCTGCATAGCAACGCCTCCTCCTCCTCGTCCTGTTCAATCCAGAACATCTCTGTTCTCACGATGACTCGCCGTTTCTCTCGGAATATATCGAAACCTTCTGGGCTCTTAACCACCTACGAAGAGGAGAGTCCATTCCCATTCAATTTCTCTTTTCCAAATTGCACCTTCGTTCAGGCGTGTGCCTGTTGATTCGACAAGTTTTTCTTTAAAATTTGTAGTGAACTTACAGCTCGCGTCGTCGTTGAACACGCCCGGTGATGATAACAAGTTTCTTCGATAATCGTTCGGTATTATTTGCAAGTGAGACCAGATCCGGCAGTATTGTGACTCTCAAGCTTATGGTTAATTGCTGTTATTAGCCGTCACTTTTGTACGTCGATGTAAAACCAAGCGAATAATCGATATGACACTGTCCTTTTCGAATCCACGTCAAGTCCAGGAGCATAAGTCCGGAAGCAATAATCGTAGCCAGCTGGCGCTTCCGTTCACACCGGGTTTTCTCTTTCTTTCTCTTGAGCGGAAGTGCCTCCTGAAACTGCGCGAGCGTGTGCTCGCATTCGAGGCTGAAACCCGTTCGTGCTTATCTCTCGGCCATTCCTCGACGATTTCCGGCGGCAAAAGGGGGCGAATCAAAGTGTGAATTACGGATTCGCAGCCTCCCGGTAAGGAAGCCGGGCCGCAGACTGAACGGCCCTGGCTAGCACGACCGAAATAGAGCGATGCCCCACTATCTTCGAAATAACTTCGCCGAGCGTCGCGACGCCGGTGGAGATCTGCGCCCGGACGCTGCCAGAACTCTGTCGATCCTCGCAGCTCTGCGATTTACGGGGCTGATTTACAGCAGACGTGAGAAACAATTGCTCGAATCTCAAAGTTCGCCGACGTTTGCGAACTCCCCCCTTTTCTTCGTTCGAAAAACTCTCTCTCTACAAATCTCCGATTTTTCCCCGATCTTTTCGAAATAGCTAAAATTTTTTCAAAATTTAAAACATCGAAACAGTTAGAAAAAGAAAAACGCGAATTACAAGGTTTATGTCGTGTCGTCGTGCGAGATTGTTTTACGCAAATCAAGTCACATACACCAAAGTCCGGACTTGAAATCATCTGACTCATGCATTTGGCATGCGAATATATACGGCGAGGGTTTCGGGATTTTCGCGCGCCAAGAAAACGTCCGTCCCACTTACTTGCAATTTCTTTGTCTGTCATTTAACGCGTCGCACGGCCCGCCCGTTGCTGCACTTTGGTTAATTCGCCGGCGAAGTAATTCGACTGGCGTGGCGCAACGCTTTAATTTGCTTCGCTAATGGCGCGATTACCTCGAGGCAATTCTCTTATCGAATCGATTGTTTAATTCGGTTTAATTAATGCATGACGTTAACGCTACAATATTTTTTCATGGGAACGATATAATCGCATCGACGCAAATTTATCTATAATGGTCGGATTAACATGACAATAAACAGTGGTGAATAATGAGCAAGCTTGTCATTCTTATTTGTGAAAACGTTAACATTCCTATAATAACTTTTGAAGCTTCTGCGATGTTTTTGCGCGTCGTTGCGAAGATACGACTATATCTCAAATGAGGCTTGACAAATTGTGAGATATGATAATGAGGACTAGTTAATATTAAAGCCGGAGTTTCCATGGCCTCGTTGACGAATTGCACAATCGCGCAGCCTTCGTTGTTGACAATCTTTCTCGCGAATCTCCATATTGCCCACAATTTCCATAGAGCTCGTTTAAATGTTATGAGTACGCAACTAAATGTCAGAACATTAACGTTTGGTCGTACGAAATGCACATACTTAAGGAGCTATCGATTGTCTTTCAATATTCCCGCTCGATATTGATTTTTTGCCTTGGCGAACGTGACTAGCAATCAATACTTAATAACGTCGGTAAAACAAAAAATTAATAAAGGCAGTAAGAAGTCCGATTTACGCGATGCTCTTTAATTTGTCATCAATAACAGCTTATACATGATATACATAAATACATTCAGTACATCGAATCAACGTTTGCAACGTCGTTGTTTGGTGGAACGGAAATTGGTACAGTTCTACATTAATATCGACTTTCTCCGGAATGTAATCTGGAAATTCACCGAGTATGTACATTATCTATTTTTCTTTCCTCGTCCGACTCCTACATATACGGGCTACGTGTCTACAAACAATTGTGCGTTACGCTATAAATAAGAAGGTGATTATATCTGACTCGTTAAATGTCTAGAAAAGCTCTCGTAAGGTCAAACAGAACAACGCTTTCCGCAGGGTTGGCACTTGAGTGCGAGATTAAGAAAGGTACTATTTTCAACGTTGACGGAATGTCGATGCTTCTCACGTGCTACCCTCTTCCCGAACAGTCGCGTGATATTATACTTGAACTTCGTCATAAGCGAGTAACTTGTGAACACATTGGTAGATTAACGGCTTAAGTCAGAATTCAAGTGTTTGTTTGGGAATGTTGCATTCGGGGCTGCATTTTGCGCGCGCGCGCCATTGTTGCATTTTATGCGGACCCGCACAAATCATCCCTTCCTCGCCGCGTTCTTCTTTTTGTTCTCTTGTGCAACCATTATTATTGTCGAAACCATGATTTGTGACTTAAGGTGTTAACGCAGATATATTAAATATCGTTAAATCGGCCCTGTATGAAAATATAGTTGAGTTATTCCTTCATAGTTTAATTAAAAATCTCCAAGAGTAGTATCTCGTTTGTGCGAATCTCGATATAATTTCTATCGATTAGAATTTCACATTCCGATTGTGTAGGCTGTTTAAACGTTACGCTCACAGTTACAAGTATCGTTGGCAAAATCGATCGTTAAAGGTCCGCTCTTATTATCGTAAATAATTTCGCTTATCATCCGCTCGTAAATTCGAGCATTAGCCTTATTTACACGGAACATACTCAATATGTCACCTGGACGTTCTTCCTGTACAACGAATCGTCGTATAAATATATTTAACACAGGCGGTCGTAAAACTCACGTTTGCAATTCTCTCTTTCTTCTCGGGCGTTCATTTCTCTCGGTATATAAAATAAGCTTTCGCACTTCGCACAAGTCTTTTCCTTCGCGTTAACAGTGGGCGGCAAATTATTCTACGCGATGATTCATATGCGTGCGCGACGTGCGTGAAACAAGTAACATACTACAATATAACGTCCGTATATATATACAATATATCCGTATATATCCCCTATGTATGTCGGCAACTGGCAACGGCGACTAACATCATAGATTTAATTAGGCTTCTGCGTGCTTAAGGCTCGTTTCGTATCGAACGTCTCTTCCCCCGCGATTTACTTTCATTTTAACAACCCCACAACTTGTCTGTGCACATGGCGCCAAATATATGGGCTCGAATTCACGACAAGCATGCGTTAGAAAAACAACGTCTCCAACCAGAAAAGAGGAAAAAGAAGCGGCGTGGAGGTGGTAGATAAAAGTGAGTCCCTCGTAAAGTTCTCGCACGTTTGCGGTTCTCGACGCGTAATAACAATTAGCAGTCTCCCTCTCTGTAATAGCAACACTAATATCTGATAAGTCGCATATAAGGTACCATTTGGGTCGCGAGCCCGAACACAGAATGGCGAAATTCAACTAGAGCGATATCTCCGAGGGTACAGAATAATCTATAGGCAAATAATCTAGGAGAGGTGGCTAGCGAGAGGGCTCGGAAGAGAAGGGTCGAAAGAGGCTTAAAATATGGTTAAAGTGGGTTCAAATAGAAATGGAAGAGCAAAAATATGGTCCCCGCCTCCACGCCGCGTGCTACGCTTACCTGCCGAAGTCCGTTAATTAGCTCGGTTAATGGACGTAATAAGCGCGCGCTGGCTTTAGTTGAGCGCCGCGCACGTGTTTACGTATCGTGTATGTACGCATGCAATTAGCGTAGATTGCCTAATGCTCGATTCGAGTAGCTATCCGCAAAGGGAAAAAAAAGAAGAAGAGTGAAAAAGAAACGGAATGTCACATGTAATGTATAAGAATTGCGAACACGGATTTGTTCTCATTTTTTTTTGTCAGTCGCTTCACAAAGTGGAGAGCCAACGCGCATTAACATGGTCGGTTCTGTGCAAATATCTATACATATACATATACATACATGGTACATATACACAGACATGTCCGTTTATGCTCGCAAATGTAGCCTCTCTCTGCGCGAATTGATAATCTTATTTAGCTATAGAATGTACCGAGCGGAAAAAATAATCAATCGGAGGGCATTTAGTCGCTTCTTCTCTCTTGCTGAAAGGAACTGTACACAGTGCGTTACATTTATTGTTCGTTGAACTGGTCCGTCGACGATCTCGCATGTTACCCAATGGGCGCAATAGATCGTATCTCGAATTGATACAACGAGGCGACGTCGTCGTCGTTGCCAATCCACGTTTTCGAGCACGCTTTGCGAAATCCGCAAATCGCTCTAGCACATAATTCCGTTTCTCAACAGCGTTCCCTAACGACGGCGATTCTCTTTCGTGACCAAGACGAAACACGATCTAAGATACCTCGGGAATCTTTTAAGCTCTACCATCTCTTCTTGTCGGCTACATTTTGATCGTCGATTTTATTTGATCCGGGAATTCTCTCTTTATCAGCGGCGATATCTGTTGCAGCGAGCAAACAGATCGTACTATCTTCCCGCACTCTGGAACGCGCGTTGCGCAACAGCCAAGTACTCGTATTAGTATGTACGCTATTGTTAAACGTCGACACGCAATCGCGGGTGTACTCCAGGATCAATGCCGACGATCAAAATTTTCAAACGATAACTCTAGATTGTTCCAGCGAGTGGACAAATCGCGCCACTCATTGGACTCGCAGTGTTCCTATAGAAAAATAAGTCGGTCTCCCATAAAATATGCATTGCTCACTTGCGCTTTCCTCACCCGCGACTCTATTAATGAGCGTCTTTATTGTTCGATATCGCGGCGAAGTTAACAGCTAATAGCGATCTACACCAGGTACAAGTGTGTCCTCCGTCAAACGTTACGTCCCATAACATAGCACCAAAATTTCTCACGAAAAATGTTTCGTTATTAGAAAATTCTCTCATTTTCGTGTAAGGCCCCGCTCCGGAAACCTGCTTTCACGTTTTCATCGAGCGCGAACGTGCGTAAACTGCGAAAATCTACCCGCGAGCCTGCTACCGCAGTTGCTTTGACCATAATTCACTATTCGGACACGACTTTCGAGCCGCGCAATCGCGCCTTTGTTAGTTAAGATAACATCGGACGATACGGAGACTCGTAAATTCATAGAAAAATATCGTCAATGCGTGCGTTCAAAATCGCCCCGAGACAGTTATCGGAACTTAACTCGTTCTCAACTATTTAACACCCGGGGTGAGTTGGGCGGAAACGGCGATCGAGGTTGCGCGGACCTGTCATTTCTTAGTTTTCCGATTTGGCTCGAAGTGCGACGCGAGTCTCTCGATAGCTGCGCTTCCTTGCCAACCGCTATTGCATAACATCGCTCTGTATACATATTTTATACTTATACTCATAGGGTTGCGCGGCCCTTTGACGTTGCGACGAAGGCGGGGACCGTCCGGCTTGCTTCCTGGGATGGCATGCACAGAACACAGCACAAAACGCCACACAATTACACAGAGAGACAAATAGAGACAGAGAGAAGAGAAGAGATACAGGTAAGGTGGGCTAGATAAGAGAGTATGGTGAAAAGTATCTGAACGAGGAAAAACGGGAGGAGAGAGAAAGAGAAAGAGAGAGAGAGACAGAGAGAATGGGGGTGCGTCGAGAACGCAGGCGAGGTGCGAGAAATATATCGTAATAAAACAAAATGCAATATAAACATGGGTGATTATACTCGGATTTATGAAAATAATTCCGGGATTGTTTGTCTGGAATTCGCAGCAGAATGACATGTTAAACGCAACGTATTTTTGATAGCGTTTTACGGTATTCCTAGTTATTAGTAGATTATGTGTAATATAACCGCCGGACATTATGAATAATCGTTTGCGTTATTATTCATGACTGGCCGGAGATTATTATTCACAATTTACTGCGATTATATACGTAATCGCTTTATCAAAATCTTCGTGACAATGCAAAACGTTTGACAAATTGACTTTGAATTTTGTGGAAACGAATTTCGTTAAATCTTTTATCCGTTGCTTTCTGCTGCGAGGAGAAATTTAAATCTAATATCGTTCGGCTTAAACGTGTGATACCTTGGGAATCGTAATAGCGAACGATTGTTATCTTGTTTAACGCATAATGACCGTCGAAGTTATTTCCGATGTTGGTCTTGGAAAGGCGTCCCGTTTCGTTTCTTGGCAGAGTGAACGCCAAACAGATTGCTTCGCCGAATTGCATTATTTTTCCCCGAATCTTTATAAATCGACATCAAAATTTCATCCGCACGGCAAGTTGAAATTTCATTCGAAAAGTGAACGTTCCAAGTGAATAAGCAACGAGAAATCGTATTGAAAAGATAGCTGTGGGATCATTAATTCTCTAGAAATGTCGGTGCGACGCACGGTTCAAATACAATGAATAATAATATTTACATAGGATGAATATAATTTAAAAGTGCTGTCTGCCCGATGACGTCAATGCACGAGATGTCAGAATCCTCTATGGAAATTTCTGTCCGACGCGAATCATCAATACATCTATGAATATTAAAACACAACACTCGATCACAATATTGAAGAATGAGAATTGGAAACAGAGATATCTGCAGAACCGGCAGCTTCTTTTTCCAGGTGGATGACGTAAGTGCCAAGACGTCCTCGGTGCATAAGACGAATATATGGACGCACGTATATATGCACGTGGCGAAAGTATGTCTATATATACATATGCACATTATATGTATATATATACATATATAAGATGACGAAGAACAAACGCGTGAGAAAATAAGGACTCACCTTCGGCACAATACCACCGCCACCGCCACCGGACGGTCCGCGAGCCACGTAGAGGCTCTCGGTGCGCTTAGGCTGCCCAGGACTCGGCAGGATGTCCTGTCCAAGGCCACGGTTTTTTATGAGAGCCCCCTCGAACCCCTGGCTGGGCGTCGGCACGTTGTACGTCGGCGTCGCAGCGCCGCTGCCTATCACGGAACCGTTCAGCGGCGTCCCCGCTCGTATCACACTCGGGGCTCTCGTCGATCTGCTGATCGCAAAACAGAACAGTTGTTTTCAACGAATCTCAGGGAATCTCACATTGTCAGTTTCCACAAAAAGACTTAAGGTACTCTGAATTTCTGACCGCAGCTCCCCTTTCATCTATCTGCGAACCATGACGCGTATACGATCTCAGGTGATAAACAAATCTTTTTCAACGTCAATCGATAGTCAAAATTAGATGCAGATGTTGCTCACCTGTCGAGCATGTCCGGAGGTGGATTCGATATGGTTTGCTCGACGGATGGCTGCCTTGATCCAGTCAACCGGGAATGCGCTCTGGCATAACGATCTACGGAACTGTCACGACTAGGTGGCCTCTTGTAATGATCCAATCTACAACACAATAATCGTTTAAACTTCAATCTGTCACATAGCTATAATTTCAAATGGTCAAACTATCCAAAAAGGTTCTGCAATTTGTAAAAAAATTTTATATAACACTGATTCGTTTTAAGTATAACTTCGAAGAAGCTACGATGCGTTCAAAGTTGTACAGACCAAGAATTGAAATTCCGAGAATTTCAAACTTCTAATCACGAAAATTGAGAATTTTGGAAACTGACAAAGTATCAGGAGAACATGATCGGCAAAGAGGTGACACTATCTAATTTTCCAAGAATTTTTCAAAATTTCATAGAATTGGAATGCCGAGAATTTCAAACTTCAAATCGCGAAAATTAAGAATCTTGGAAGCTACGAGAATTTAAATTTCCGAAATCTATATCCTGCAAAATCGAAAAAATATCAGGAGAACATCATCGGCGAGGAGGTCGCACTATCCAAAATTCCAAGAAATTTTATTGATACATTATACTCCCAAGAATTTAAAATAAAAAATATCGAAATCTCTTTATGTACGTTTGGTTGCATAAAAAGAACACATCGAACCTGTCGTTTAGCGTTTGGCCAATAACGCCAGGTCGATCCTGAGGACTCAGGACTCTACTGTTTCTTCGTAAACTCGTGGAGCTCGGTGGCCTCGCCGCATCCATGATACCATCAGGCTGGTATTGCTGCGACGGGTGCGTTTGTTGCGCGTATATCGACTGTGAATTGAACTGATTCATCTGACCAGGCCCGTATTGATTGGGAATTACCGTCTGAAATAAATTTTACATTACTCTAAGAGTTTCTCAAGAGAAACTACAAGTTGCGATTTTAATCGCGGAACAAATACATGGATAGATTATTTTAAAATATTTCTCAATATGCAGTATCTAGTATTTTTGGAACATTTACATATCTAATGTAAGTGATATACTGCCGTTGAAGAATCCTGTATTTGTTCAACGTGTGTTGTTAGAGGCTACCAAATTTTGCAGGCTCATCGAATGAGAAGAATAACAATTAATTGTACATTCGGTCGACAATAAAAGCATTGACTCCCTGTTTGGTCGATTATTTCGATTAATTTTGAACTATCTAACAATGTTACTTGTAATTGAACTAATCATCATCATCTAGAACAATACGGATGTAAACAAATGTAATTAAATGCTGGAATTGTCGACAAATAGTCATTAGTATCGTGACATCATTAAACGCGCGTTAAACTTGCTGGTGAAGCTAGACTCGCACTCGGAAACTCATCGAGTTGCTTATAGCATAAAACTGTGCACCAAATTGATTGATTTGGGCGAATGTTGTGGCATCGTACATAAACGGCGGTTGCCGAGATTAGGAAGGTACAGAGAGAAACACGGCATTGGCACAGGCACACAAAAGCGGTAAATCGTAGCGAGTGTTGCACAATGTAGAAGGCTGCGTGCGCGGAAGCCAAGAAGAACCGAGGAGCGCAACACTGCGAGTCACCTGCTGACTGGGATAAGCCTGCAAATTTTGGAAGTCGTGCGACCCGATTGGTTGCTGCTGTTGCTGCTGTTGCTGATAATCGGAGTATTGCTCAACCTGAGATGGATTAGCCGGTTGATATTGGTACGGATTGTTCTGGACGAACTGCTGATGCTGCTGGCTGTACTGGTTTGGTTGGTACTGATTCGATATACTGTTCGAGTACTGGCTCACCGGAACCGGGTTCTGCAACACGTTTTGCTGATACGGATACTGTTGGTACGGATTCTGACTGGTCAGCGAAGATTGCTGCGCGTTGAGCTGGTTCATGGCCTGGTTCGCCAGCGGCACCTGATTCGGTATCTGGTTTTGCATGGGCGGCTGATTCTGTGGCAACGGCTTCATACTGGTCCTACGTATCGACTGCATCACGTTGCTGGCGGTGTTGTTCGCCGCGGACGCTGGCATCGCGTTCATCGTCGTCGTTGTCGCCGTCGTTGTGAGGTCAACGGCCAACGAGGCGCTCTTGACCGGCGTGGCGCCGCTAGGCTGGTCCACGCTGGCCGTCTTGTGCAGGATGCTCTTGCTCGGCACAGAATCGTGCGGCGGCGGGACATACTTGGGTATCTCCCTGTTCCGCAGCCTCTCCAAACCCGGTTGTCGGAAGTCCGGCGCGAACTGTCTCGCCGTTTGTTGCGCCAGCTCGGAGTCTTCTCTGGCGTGTTCGGCGGCGATATCGGCGAGCTCCGCCTTACCTCGCGCCGTCGCCGTCCTGGAGATAGCGATGTCGGCCTTCTGCAGAGCGATCTTACTCGCCCGCTGAGCTGCACTTACTGCCGCCTCTATCCTCTCGCGGAACTTGGCGGACCTGATCAGGAAGAGGTGCCTCTTCTTCTGGCTGGTGATAAGCACGTTGTTTTTGTACTTTCCCTCCTCCTTGCTCCCGTCACGGAATGTGGTGACACCGTAACCGTATTTGCGATTGTTGAACCATTCGCCTTCGTATCGTAGTCCGTCGCTTCTCTCGGATATGCCGAAGCCAGTCCTCTTGTCGTTCTTCCACTCCCCTAGGTACGTCTCGGTTACCGACGCGTCCATCTGTTCGTCCTGCAAAACATTGCCGTGCAATTAATTACACGTTACGCCGATAATTCTTTTTAATTTTGCAGACTATGCTGCAAGCTAACTTTATTGTTAACGCTATACGCGTTTCTTGATACGATTGGAATAAGCGGATTTAACGGTCGCGAAACGAAATTAAAATCCGATTAGAGGTTTGCCGAGTCGCGAAGAAGCTGAGGAGCGTAAGTACCGTGACCTACCTCGATGACAAAGGACGCATTACTGTCTGTGTGAACCGAGGCCGAGGCTTGACTTTGCGAGCTCTCGGTCGACATCCACGACGCCGAGCTGGCGTTACTCCTGATGCTACCGCCAGTACCGCGCTTCTCCAAATCTCCCGTACTCCTCTGCTTTCGAATCTTGAGACCCTGTCGACAGAACGTTCTTCTAAATAACGCTGCAACTTCTGTTTAACAATCTCGACAGTTTCTTCGCCCCGCGCGCGGGAGAGACACCTTACCGAGAGAATGCCCTTCTTCAGGGACTTTTCGGTGAGGCTCTTTCTTCGAGCGGGCGGATCGTCGCTCCTGGCTTTCAGGACGAATCCTCCCCGGCTGTCATCTACACGTCGATCCCTCCTGTCGGTGGGTTCCGGCGTCGGGGCGACCGCTGGTCCTCCGTCGGCGCTCCTCAACGACGTCAAGGACGCTCTCACTTGCTTCGGAGGTTTGTAATGGCTAGCCAAACCGAACGGCGCGCTCGCCCTCACCCCGTATCCGTGCCGCATGCCGCGAAGCCACTGGCCTTGATAGGTACCTACAAGATCGTCCATGTAACGCAACAGAAATAGAAACAGAAGTTGAAGGCGGGACGTTCCATCGGCGAGTTACACGCTACTACCCCCTGTCCATTAGGGCTGATGGAACTTTTTTTCGCGGAGTCAACACATAAATCTCCCCACGTGACTCAATATACCCTATTTCGGGGTTTTCAAGTATTACGTTGCGGCCAAAGTTTTGCCGTCTGCCCCACTAAATTTTGTATTAAACAAGTTAGAAATCTGGAGTTTCTTTAAAGAGATGATTGAAACGAAATCTCTTTATTCTTTTTTAAGTAAGAAAAACAGAGTTTGTTGAAGTTAACGGTTGCGCTTCGGCTTCGCTGACTTTGTTTCGAACTTTATTCGATACATATGATAAATCTTTCGCACCAGGCTAGTAATATGATCGTTGCAACCGAATCGTGGTTGTTCGGGGGTGATAAAGACGGTATTTTTGCAGCAGTCAGCATTTGGGGGGGGGGGGCAATCGAGCGGAAGCGTGGAAAATGCGAAAAATTTGCCGGCAACGCGTGAGAAATCGGAAGCGCTACGTCAGTCGGTTACGACGAATCCCCGTGGGTTGCCCGTACTCTGCAATAAGATGTATTGTTTTTGCCAAAACGTGATCGTGTTTCAAAATGTATCGCGTGAGTCACGACGTACGAGGCGAGCGGTTACGCGCGACCCGCTCGGAGATGGAATGCGTCCAGTTGCGCGTGTGGGTGCGTGCTTTTTCGGAGAACGTGCGAATTCCGAATCGATGAAGAAAACCGCTGGAGAAATTGGACGCGGACCCGGCGCGAAAGACCGCGGCGCGCGGAGAACGCGCGGCTCTTTCTGCGAATTGACGTCGTCGCACCTCGTGTTACCTTTGCGATTTACGTAGCTTGTATTTTTAATAGCCGCCAATGTTACACGTTATCGCTCCCATCTTTTCGAAGTCATCGCCAGATCTTATCAACGGCACGCAACACGTTCCGACGTGCATACTACGAGCGCGGGGCCGTTCTTTCGAAAGAGCATTATTCCATTCCGCGTTGAATAGCTCGCGTCCTGGACAAAGTATCGCGGTCGCGGCGAAAAGTTTCGGCCAACGACGTTTATTGGCATGCAAACCAAGTCGGCCGTATGCATCGCGACGACGCGTTGATGTTTCGGTTGCGCTGGAACGGGACGCGTCACGTTTTTCTTCTCTGACACAATTTAGCCATGAATGCATACAAGGTGTGCCGTCGCTGCTGCCACTCATATTAATAGCCGATCCCTTGAACTTTTCGTCCCGATCGTCTAAAGTTGGAAATTTTTTTAATATCGACGTAATCAATTTTATATATTGTATACGCGCGTTAAAAATATTATAGTGATAAAAACGATTGAGCTTCCCTCCGATCGCTCGTTCAGGTGCAATCCTTGCGATTTTCATTGATTTCTGTTCAATCAAATTTATACAAAATAGTACAATGATTAAACAATATTAAACGAGATATCAGAAATTGGCTCGTTGCTACTTAATCAGTTAGCGTCGAATTAATATCGAAAATTAGAAAATTAGAGGTCTTCTCGCGAGCGAGGGGGGGGGGGAGGGGCCTTCTGTCGAATCCTCGCTCCGCAAAGTCGCGCGAGAATTCGATTCGTCAAGGAAACTGTCATTAGCAGGCAAACTACGACGTCGACGGGATACCCTATATACGACGACGCCAGGCGTCTCCCCTCTTCGCGACGACAGAATATTATTTCGCTAGCGTTTAAGCAAGTGGGTCACGCGGTGGTTCCCGGCGTTCACACAAGACGCCCAATGTACACGAACCCTCGAAATTGCCGCCGTGGCGGCGACGGTGCCAGTCTGAATGCATACCGCGCGTTTTCAATTAATTTTTAGGCACGGCCGCCGCACGTAATGAAAAACGCACGTAAACGCCCGAACACTATGCTCCCCCGGTTATTCGCGACAGCGAAATCTTTCCGCATCGCGGAGCCACCTCGTCGACTCGAGTAATGAGTTTTCGCCCGGCGATTCTCTCAGGAAGACTCGCACTCTGAGGGGGAAAAAAAATGAACAGTTAGCAACCCATTTCGGGGCCCATAATTAGTAATCGAATTATTTGGATTGTTCGTGACTCCACTCTGGCAAAAATTTTGGCCGTTTTTTGTACTTGAGCAACTTAACATTTTGTGCATCTTAAGTGAAAATTATCTTTGCGTTACTGAATATAGACAGAGCTAATTGGCAGAATTGATTAGTATTGCTTAAAAAATTAATAAAATTCGTATAGCTCAAATGTGATAAACACAAATTTGAAGGAATAAAGGAACTAAGAGCCGCGACAGGGTGTTAGTGTCTAAATATTTTATTCTAAATTTCACCAAACCCTGGCTGAGGTGATACTTTTTCGCAATAAATTTAGAATAAAATATTTAGACACTGACACCCTGTCGCGGCTCTTGGTCCTTTATTCCTTCAAATATTACTTAAAAATCCTGGATACAGATAGAATAGCTAATTGCCAATTTTATTTGCGCGGGATAAAATTCGTAAAAGACTAGAGTTACGAACGATCCCAATAATTCGATTGCTAATCGTGGGCCCCAAAATGGATCGCTGTCTTTTTTCCCCCAGAGCACGCGCGATGTCTGCGTCATCAATTCTTCTTGCGGCGCGAAAGAGATCGCCATTCGAGCGAGTTATTTCTTCAAGAGCGTTATTATATATGTGTAAAAGTTTTTCAATTATTTTCCCCCCCTTTCGCTTTCGATCTCCCATCCCCGGGATAAGCGCGATAAATTCATTTAACGCCGACATACAACACGGTTTCATATTAATTTTCAGACTCTACATATTTATTTACAACGCACGCGTGAGTCTAACTGCAGTTTCGCGCTACGGTATACATTTTCTGCAGCGACTCTCAAGAGTCTGCACTAGCACAGTTGGAGATGATTCTCGCTCTCTTCCCTTTCCTCTTTTTCTCATCCGAGAGATTTACGACCTTAAGTTCGCCGTACGAATCTATGGATCGATTTAGGAGACATCCACTTTGTGCAGACCGCCTGTGTTATCGAGGTCAGTTCGGGTTGTCAGCCGCGTGGAGACAGTCTAGCACGAAAACTCGTGGTCCCTCTCGGGGTCTCGACGAATTTCGAACAAACGCGGCTGCGAACAAGACGCCGCCGAGTCTGACGGAGATATTAACCGAGCAGCACCACGTAGTAAGTACGCGGAAAAGTGGATCGTGCCATAATATATCGATTCGCGTATCCGTCAGCAACGACCCAAATTAATTATTGTCGAGCTTCTAATTCTCATTGCGTTAATCCGCGTCACGACTTTCGATGCGCAGGTATTCTCGTTAAAAATCGTTAAGCGAATAGTTTCGCGGATCAATTTCGCACAAATCATCCGGCGCGGTGTGGATCGTCGGGAAAATCCCCCTCGATCGGTTCGATCTCGCGCGAATCAATTATAAATCAGGAGACGTTGTTTTGGGTGGATACTCGGCGACAGTACTTGCGCAATGTTTCGACAATTGCGTTTAGCCAGGCGTTGTTTTTTTTTTGCATCTATTATACTTGGCCGCAACATGTGTGTGGGACGATCGATAGTCCCCACAAATTTCATTTCCCGGTAGTCTACTGGTAGCGCAAGTCGAGTTTAACATAGGACGAGTTTAACACGGAATAGGGGGGTCGTCCTGGCATATATCTGTCATGTAGGAGGCACGAAACCGGGAGCCTTTAACCGGAACGTGGTTTCCGCCCGTCGATATCCATCGTGAAAAATAATAGGCGAACTTGGCGTTTGAAAATTTATCGCCAGCATCTGCTGGCCATTATCCGCTTTCCGTTTAAAACACGGAGAGTCATACGGCTACGGATGACTGGGCTTTCGGTTGGTGGATTAAGGCCGCGGTGTAGAACGGCCGTAAGAAGAATCTCTGGAGGGTGAACCGAAGATGCTGTACGGTCCTGATTCGCTACATGGCACTGGCTAGCCTGCCTGAAATAGCACGGCCATCTTCCGAGATGGTGGTCGGTTGCACGTGCATCGGGACGCATCTCGGTGTTGGTGAGAATTGGCCGCGCGAGCGTATTTCGGTCCGCAGCCTCCACCGGATCGTCGCAAACCACCCTAACGGGATCTGTCGATCGTCCCGACTGTCTTTTACCTATGTTCCTCTGTCTGGGGAGGGTGGCGGGCAGTCTAGGCGGCGCGCGTGTCTTTAAGATAGAAAAGAATAAGGTGGAAAATCGCCGGACCAGATATCTCTAATTCACTTATCTGCCTTCGTGCGTCGCGTCGCCTCGTACATCGTACAAGCGGATTTCGCGGAGACTGTTCCGCGTTCCACGAACGGTGTGAGCTCCACGAGAATGAAATTTTATTTTAATACAATTTTATTATATATAGGCACGATTAATATTGCAAAAACTACTATCCCTTTTTTTCTTTTGCGATCGATCTAGTGAATGAGACGCGTAGGAAACGTGCGGCAAGAACCACGCGATCCCTTCTGAGCCTGGCCGTTTACGCTTATGGCGTAGATACCCAAAATCTCGTATCAGGAGCCCACTTCGTAATACAGGGACTTTCCTCTGTGCCTAAAAGACACGCGTGCTGTATGGGTAATTCGCGCTGGACCACATACGTTTCGGCTAAAAGCCGCCTGTTACGAAAAATACTGCAGACTACTTTCCTATTGATTACAATATTCGTGCGTCGCGTTGCGTCCTATGCGGCTTCGATCCGAGCGCCATGCGTGCTACATACATGATTACACGGCTGTGCATTGGGTTGCCGTCGTTGCGATAACAAAGTGATATACTTTTTCCTCGTCGCGCCGTCTGGCCGCTGGCAAGTTTAATACCGCAATAACACTACGATATCATCACAATTGGCGGAAAAAATTTAATCTCGCTCTGGAATACTACTTTTACATTGCGAATAGTAAATAATTATTCTGGCATACTCGCCGAGTAGTTCAGTCTGTCTTTAATCCTT